GTGTACGTTACTGCGAAATCCTGGGAGGTGGTCGTCAGACGGTGACTGTGGAACACTACAGCCGACAACTAAACAACATGAGAGAATGACTTGATGAGAAAAGGCCATTTAGCGGGTAATGAAGCAGGCAGGTCATACTACTGCCGCCGTAGCAGTGAATGAACTTCTTGTGGAAAACTGTGACGGCTGTTTAAAAGTATGTATTTCGTTATGAGAATCCTAAACGCAAAATGATGTCGTGGGTAGGTCTTCGGCAGCCCAGTACATCGACGTTGAAACAGAACATCCACTTGAAGACGGTTTTCCTGTGTATCTGGTTGGGGAGGGGGAGGCCATGGGAGTTGTGCTTTATTTCGACATGGCTACATCGAGGTTGCAGGCTGGATGCGTTTTGGTGGGCTTCGGTTGAGTAGTCTCGTTCCAGAAACGCCGTAGCCGGCCGGCCGGCGTAGGGGTGCTAATCGATTTTCTGATTGCGGGCGCGAGGATGAAGACCTGTCTCACACCATCCCCAGCTTAGCATTTGCAGTACATCTGATACCGCGTTGTCAGTGGCAATACCACTACTCACAAGATATTTAGTATCACCTTAATGAAGCTCACGTCAAAGCCGCTTCCGACTCTGTGGTTAAAGGCCTGATTCGCAGAGCAGTAGTGAAACAAATAAGGATTGGTGAGACTTTATTGCCCTTGTCTACTGACCCCAGTTAGCGAAAAACGCGCCCCAGTCGTAGTTGCGCGATTAGACGTCCACTCAATCTTCCAAGGCTGTTGAAACAGATCAACTAGGCCAATCACACACGGCGTCGCAGTAGCTTTTCGCTCCGGAGAAACCTCACTGGTCAAACCACCGCCACCACCCCCTCCTCTCCCCCCAAGCGCCTTCCTGTCTGAGTTTGTGTGTGCAGTTGTAAACACGACGCGTTTTGCCTCAGCCACCACCTTGTGTACTTTTGTGCCAGTCATTTTTTGTTGTTGTTTCGTGTCAAATCCTCGTGGGCGTTTTAGCCTGCTGCCTGCGCGCATTCCTCGTTGTGTTGGCGCGCTGAAACCCAACACCCTCCGCACCACCCCGTTGTACTTTGGGCAGATTGTGAAGTCCGCACGTACAAAGTCCTTCTGATGTTGAATTATTACACACGCAGGGTTGCGTTCTGGGGGAGGGGATTCCGGCGTACTTTGGAACTGAGACAAGGCGTCTGCGTGTGTATGTGTGTACGTCTGTGGTTGTGTACCACCGCGTGTCGATGGTCAAGTGTACTAATGCGAATGTTCGTCGTCAGACGGTGTCTCCGGCTGGTTAAATTACACGAATTCACGTAGAACCTGGTCATTATTGGTAAATGCGACTTGAAAACTGACCCGTCAAGTGTCCTGGTAAGGGCCATCCACGTGTCTGGCCCGACACACTGCTGAATTTCGCTCTTAATGCGAATCTTTTTCACCAACACAAGGTGCCACGTATTGCAACCAAGATCGTGCGCTGTGACCCTCAAGTAACCCCTTTCGCGTCTTATTTTCGGTCCAGACCTGTTACTGTCCAACGCCACGACCACGTGATGGGCATGTTTTCGCCGCAATCACAATCGGAAGTACCGTTGGTGTACTTTTGCGTGCCCTGTTCGTGATGAAATGCGAGTCCGCGCGTTCTACAAACATTGTTATTTTACTTTTTTTCGGCCTTGGTTTTGTTGAACTAATTTGTACCGCTCGCACTCGTAGGGAAAGTACTTAGCAGTCCGTGTTATTGTCCAAATTAACGTAATTAAACCGCACGATCTACTGAAACGATGGAAGTAGCTGTGTCATATTTCCTGCCTTGCTTTAGCATTTACGCATGACGCTGAGTCCCGATGGCCAGTGTCAAGTCCAGCACCTGCCGTTTGCGTCAATCTGCGAGATGTTGGAGCACTTCCACCAGGAGCCCATTCCCCTGGAGCACCCCTCGCAATTGGCAGGCTCCCCCGGTGATCCCAAGACCGCCAGCGAGTCGCCTCCGCCCCCCGTAACCCTGTCTGCCTACGTAGTGAACACTCGTCGCGGTTCCCGTGTGTGTCCCCCACTGAACGCCACTTCGGCCGCGAACCCCTCGCATTGGCCGCGCCTGGTGCTCTGTCGGGGGTCCGTGCGGGCGAGCATCAACGCCGTCTGCTCGGACGTCGCCTCGGTGGCCGCAAGTGTCGCGACCCGCGCTGTCCAAAACCAGTACATCCTCATGTGATGATGCACCCTCCCCTCCCCCACGCGCGCCTGTGTACATATTGCCGCTAATATATACCCACCACTATTACTCTCTCTCTCGCTCCGTCTCTCCAACAATCTCAGCTATCATCACTGACAACCTCGCACACCGCATAACTTGTCTTGCCAACAACTGTCTACAGCCCTCACACGGACAACCATTTTATTGATATGATGGCGTGTCGAGCGACCTCGTTCCAACTCCCCCAGCTCGGCCCGACCCTCACTGTGCAATATCCAACCTTCTTTCTTCCTACATTTGCTCCTTCGTGCTATCCGTTACAGTGCAATCAGGTCAAAAGCTTATGGCTGTAAAAAAACAGCCTCCCTGGGCTGTGGTGGTGGGGTTATATCACCAGTGTCAGATAAAAATTAGGTTTCTTAACGGCAGCGCAAATAGCACGGCGATGTCATGATTCGTAGTCCCTCGGCGACTTTTAACCATATTCGTTGGTAAAATGACAAATCTGAGTCATAGGGAGCTTGCCTAACGCAGCGCATGCAGATTGATCGGCGTTTAACATTCCCCGGGATGGCCCATGGTTCTTTGACTTAGCAGAATCGTTTGCTGAGAGGAGTGTCCATGCGACGGGTTACATGGGAGACGATAGTTTAACATACCAGATGAGACGGGGCTAGATATACTTAGATGACCGCAAGACGATACTGGGCCGGTGGTTCAGCACCTCCTAAAAGACGACAAAATCCCAGTGGGGGGTCTCTAGATTAGATGGGTAGGTTCCTACCGAAACACACGACTCAAACGCCACTCTGTAGAAGTTTACAATCACAAACGCGTCAGAACACTATGGCCAATAGGTAGATAAAATCCACTTAAGACACAACGACGGTGATGAAATTCGGGAGGTTAAAAATATTCGGGGAAAATAACTAAAGAAAATTGCTTCCTTGATTATTCTCAAACTAGTTGCGATGCCAATACGTTAAAGGAATGTTTACGATCTAAGTCTGCCTCTTGCGTGCACAACCAATAATAATGCCGAATTGCAATGACGGTGGATCGCGTTCCACAGTTCAGACAGTCATAAAATGCTAAATTCCAAAAGCAGTCTAGTGTAAAATCACCAAAAAACGCTTCTAATCCCGAAACTAACACATACAAATGCGACCCATAACATGTCTAACCTCTAAAGCCACGAACACACCACAAACGACCTACCCATACCCGTAACAAGCGATAGGGGTGTACAAAATGAATACTGTATTAAAATCGTCAGTCCATATCAGTTTTCGAGTCATCTTCACACTCTCTTATGTACAGAACGTTGTTGCATCGTATAAGAACTTCACCAAGGCTTCCAGTGAAGCAATTGTCGATATATTCGTCTGTGCTGTGGAGTTGAAGGTTCATGTATCTGTCAACGGCCACCAAATAGCCTTTGTATTCCATGCCCCATTTAAGCTTCACGATAACTTTTTTGCCAGTAATGCTGCTGAGAAACGGCTTCGGTGTTAGCATGTCCATTTTGAAAGAATAGCGGCTCCAAAACCAAGACCGCGCGCTTAGGACAAAAACAGGCAGGCTTTTTTTAAAACCATTAATTGCGTAAAACAATTTGTCTTAAGTAATCAAAAGGCTTATTGTAAGCACTCACATACAATTATAGATAAAAAGCTTAAAGCCCTAATACTATTAAATTTTAATGACAATAATTTGATATTGCAAAAATAATTCGACAATTGGAAAAAAAGTATATTTTAATGCTACCGGAGATTGGGTTCTGATCTGGCACATGACTTCCGCATAATTGAAATCATGCGACAATTGCTTAACCAGACTTGGGCTGGGTGTACCTACGTGGCATGAATTTTAGGATCTCTCGTCTTCACTTTGACACCAGGTCTTCGAATGCAGGTAATTAGGTTAAAAATCAGATAACCGGATTTTTACCTGCATTGAACTATGTAAACGAAACTTTATAAACACCTCAATTAATGAATTTATTTTATACCATATCTAATTTCGACATCGGAAAATCATCTCATCTGTATGTTTTTTGTGTCCATTTTAACAATGAATTCCAAATAATTTTAACAATCCAATTTTTGAATAAACCAATTATTTTTAAGTCCCGTTCATCAATGGCAATTAAACCGCCTTTTCATTGCTGTGTCTTTGGCAATAAAGTTTTTCAATGTTGAATGAACAGTGTCGGTAATCTTTAAATTTATGACGCATTTTAATTATTTGTTGAATATTTAACTAACATCTTTAAATGCCACGCGGATAAAGTATTTTTTTCTTGCAAAGAGATTACTTATTTAAGGGTAGTATTTTAGAACACATTTATGACGGTTGTTTAAGTCATAATAAATGAAAAATTTTGAAGACTTTATTTTAAAGTCCTTTCAAGAATCTAATGAGGGTTACATTTAAGCACAACAAAGTGGAATACTTCTTCGTTATGAGGCAGTTTAATATGCTATATAACGGCCTGTACTGCACAATGACAATTTTTTATGGGCAATCATGTAAGCTAATTCAGAGTATTGCGATGGTCGAGACTTGTCAAAAAATGTGCTCTTCCCTTAAATAAAAAGAGACAACCTGAGGCAGCTTTGGTAACAATTATAAAACCCCGGTTTATACGGACTTCTTTCAAAATTATTGTTTCCTCTTAAATAAAAAAATAAACTTGGTAGAATTATCTCTGCAATCAAGTGGCAATTTCTGATTTGACGTTATTATTTTGCTAATATGGTAAAAATCAAAAATTAAATCCGTGTTTTAATTTTGAACGGTCTGTTGAATATTTGTGTATGTGGCTGGTTTGAAGATGCCGCAGAATTCCCAAGCCCTTAGTATGAAGAAGACTGGTACAACAGAAGAAGCTTCATTATCTTATCACAACCCAGAACCAAACATCTGTTTCCGTCTATCCGAGTCCATCACGTTGACTGTGTCACTCACTATATACCAGTTCTCTGTCTCTGGTTGGCTGCATACGTTCCTCGCTCGAATGCCATTTTGACGCAGAGGCAGAGGATTTTCCGAGGATTGCGTAATCAACATGTCTGCGCCCTTGTACGTCGCTTCGATGCCTCAATAGTAGGTACAAGCTAGAAAATGGGTAAAAATTGTTCTAATTAGTCATATTTTGTGTGGTTTCTAATTTGTAATCACACGACCCAGCTCCGGATTGTATACAGGTAATTTAGGTTTTTTTCAACGAGAAAATTTTAAATTGTAATTGTAGGCTCTGAACTTGATCGGAGATTGTGTGGAAAGCTGCAATAAATAGGCAAAATAGTCCTTACCTTTCAACCTTGTACTTTAAAGCCTAGCTGCCTAATGAACAGATCAAAAAATTGATGTGCCAAGTAGCGACTTATTTAATGCTGCTAAATAACTAATACATGTTAAGTAGTATAGCAGTGGCTTTTATTGCTGTGCCTTATGGTATTTAGAGTGCTGTGCAAACAATTATTGTTTACGGAACTTTGATTCCCATAACATAAAAGACTCACAAGAATCGACTACTCGAAAACAACAAATGCGGTTCGGAATGTCTAAAATCGTGTTTGTTTTCGCCCAAAAGTAAACAACGATTAATGAAGCTTAAAAATGACCAATGTTTTAAATTCGGACATCTCGAAGTTTCGTCGCGCTCATTGGTTGCAAAATTCAAATTCGGTCCCAAACGCGCAGCCCAGAACATTAAAACAACGGTGTGCGTCAGGATGACATTTTGATAATTTCGAAACTTCCATGAAATAATCACGTTAAGCACGTGATTTTTACTTACATTCCTGTTGCGCATAGTGAAAAAGTGGTCCATCTTAAGAACCTTTTTGGTACAGGACTGAATTTTCGAAAAAAGGCCGTCTTTAGATGACAACATAGTTCTCAAAAGCTCATTTGTGCGCTACCGTAGTAAATTTAAATTTAAATTTTGATTTAAATTTCACCACTTTTTGCATTTTCTGCTTTAACAATTAGTTAGACATCGCAGCTCTTCTTTTGGTGTAAAATTTATATCTAAAGCTAAAAAGTCTTTATTGAAAGTCCGGCAGCATTTGTACACCAGTTAGGCATCTACTTGCAGCTTTTGACAGGTTGGGTTCGTGAGTTTTCAATTTCCGCGGTTAGCAAGACGTACCCAATGAAATTTTAGTATTGAACAAATGTAAGCTGAGCCCATTATACCATGTTTGAAAGCGTTTTTTTTAACACCCAAATGCTCCTACTTTCAGTACTGTGCTTCCCTCAAAACCTCGAAATGCATTAACTTGAATGAAAGACCTTTTGCATTTCTCAGCTACTGATTCGGTTGAAAGTGAATCTGATTAGTCAAGTCCTGTTCGTGTCTTGGTAGTTTTGTTGATTAACCCAAGCTCGTAGGCAGTATCTAGCCAATTACTGAGGTTTGACTACATAGAGGTTGGAATAAAGGTTATCACGCAACAACCTTGAATGATGATCATGATGATGGATTTTGCGTTGTGGATAAATTCAATCATTTGTGGTTTAGCGAATTCTGTTTTCTACTGTTGGGGCTTAAATTGCAGTGCCAAGGTTGTTCTCTATTTTTCAAAGATTTTTGGATCAACCTGTGGTCAAATGTAAACAAAGCAAAACAATTTAGAAAAACCGACAATTTTCAGGCGGATGGTCTTTGACCTTTTCGCTGAGGTAAATTTGACATTAAAACTTGCAATAAAATTAAAGTAAGGCCAACCTCCAGCCGCCAAACGTCCAAGCAGGCTTTTTATGCTTAAATCGCCGAATACCTCAGTAAAACAATGAAATTTATGGACTTGTACTTCCCAGTGATAGCTGAAGGTCAATTCTAGGAGGCCATAAATTGTTGTCCGTTTGAAAGTAGAAGGGAACTTCAATGACAAAATTAAATACACATTTTCGAATGAAATCTCTATTTTTTTTGTCATTCCGACAATGCTCGCAAATTAAAATGAGGAATTGTGTGAGGTTGAAAGAAAATAAAATAGGCTGTTTTTTTAGCCAGCTCTTTGTGCCTTATCAACCAATCAGAAGGTCTTATGGAATTTCGGATAATTTTAATCAAATACATAATGGATTGATTCCCTGATCGGCTGAATGCGGCCTAACATGTGAGCCGCGTTGTCCGGAAATGAGGGCGTAGTTCCAAGACAGACACAAATCCATCCAGGGGGAGAATCACGTGATCAATGTTGACTCGGTTGCCAGCGTCGTCGCCGCGTTCACCCCACACAATTCTCACCCTTTTCTTTCGCAGATCGTCTTAATTCCATGTTTCTGGTAGTTGTGCTGCCTGAACTCTTTGATAGTTGCCATGACTAATTCCTTAAAACGATCAGTTCTCGCTTCCCGCCTGGTTACTGTCAATTTAAACAAAGCAGCTACAAGTAGGAATCAGAAGACCAGACTCCTACGAACACCATTTTTGTGGTCAACCTATAACTGTCAGCTAAATGAGAAATTCATGGGTTAATTCATGACTTGCGATGAAAACTGACCTTGTCATCACCTCCTGACAAGAAAAGGAAGCTGGAATCATGGAAGTGAATTGCTCCATCCCATGAAAGTAGCTCGTGAGGGGAATGGATTCCGGACGAATAATCTTGGACGAGCACATTCCTTGAGGTCAACCAATAACTGCGGAGAAGTGTTGAGAGAGCAACCCACACAACTCCAATTTGAAATCCGTGTAAATTCGGTCACTTTCACGGAACATCACCCTTTCAACGCAGATACAGATCCACAGCACAATGTAAAGGGCAAGGCATATGGTTCCAAGCACTTTGTCCGAAAATGCTACGATGAAAAATCACGAAATTCTTGAAGCGCTGAAGCCAAACACTTGTAAAAACGATAGGAGACGGTTAGTAGTAATGATTGAAAGTTTCTAACTAGTCAGAAATCACTATGGCTCATTCAATCAGGCGCCATCTTGCACCATGACAACGCTAGGTCACGTATCGGTCAATACAGATATAGAGGCGAAGCCTCTAGCATCATCCGCCGTACTCCACTGACCTTGAATGGCAATGTAGTTGGTTCCATTGAATTACTCTGACAAGTCTCTACGATATTCCTTGATGAGAAATCAAGATGCGTTTCTCATAAAAGGCGAATCTCAAAAGGTTGTCAAAACGTTGAGAAATGGTGAAAAGTACACAACTAGTTAGCACTTGCCACCGTTTCAAGAATGGTAATTTCTTTCACACAAA